ACTACTACTACTACTACTACTACTACTACTACTACTACTACTACTACGTATACTACTACTACTACTACTACTACTACTACTACTACTACTACTCCTTCTACTACTACTACTACTTCTTTTGGGTGGCGGGGATACTCTTCAGACCCCCTGGATTGTTTGCCAGGAACGGGGGGGCCCCTTACTAATTAGGATCGAACATTATATGGCCGGCAGTCAAAAGTCCTTTTCCCAAAAGTGTGGATGTTGCACACCTGGTGGGCCCCCCCTTCTAAACCTCCTACTGTATATGTTTGAACTAGGCAACAGGGTCATTAGACGGTTCGCCCGCACAATCATTGCACTGCCCCCGAGCTTGGTACATCCATAGGCTTTGAATTATTAGGCTTTGCTAGTTAAGGAGACCACGCAGGGTCAGGGAGGCCCCATCCATCAAAAATCGAACTCACCTTCTTATCCTTCTTCCTTGGAACAGGCCAGGCCCACGGTGCCTGAAACTTCACGTCCAGGCCAATGCAGCCAAGGAACGAGAAAAAAACAGATCGGCTCGAGCTGTTCGGCTCTTGAGCCCCTTATCCAGAGATGGGACCTGGCGATGCAGCTGACGGATTGGGTATATCATATCTATCCAAATACCCGGGCCCAGTGGATGATAGTTAGGTGGCAGGATCTTGCAGGCCTTTTCCATCTCTAACGACACATGACACACAGCTCGAAAGGTGGCGCGAAGCGCGAACCATCGGCCTGCTGGCTCAATCATCTTCCCCTGTCGTCTCAGAATGCCAGCTTGCTCAGCCGCCTGGAACGGCGGGTCCCGTGGTGAGCAGTGGCTTGTCTTGGCTTTTGAGAGGTAAACATGCACTCGCAAACATGATGACTTGACATACCTGCTCCAACTTGCAACTTTGCAACATGGTATGTCCTTGTTATGCCCTATCGGTATCGTCCATCATCACTGAATTGCATCCCCTTATGCCATGAGCCAGGAGACTCTCCCTCCAACCGGAACGGCTCCAGGTCGACCGCGCACGGTCGTCCGCGCTCCGCGCTCCGCGCACGAAGGTCGAACGCCCCGTGCGCCCGCAGGGCGGAAGAGAACTCTGCGTCGTTCAGCAGCTGCTCCTGGCGTTCGCCCGGGGCCGGCCGAGCCGCTGGGGACACCGCGCGAACGGCGTCCGCGGGATCGATAAGCCGAGCGCCGGGCGTGGACTCGAAGCGAATTCTCGAGAAGGGAGGTCAACATCTACCCAGACACGACCAGTCTGGGACTGCCAGTCCGGACTGCCGATCAGGCCAGGGGTGGTGCTTGGGGGGTCTTGTTGGGGCGGCATATATGGCAGTCCCATGGAGTGTCTGGGATATATATGTCAACCATCCAGGTTTTGGGACGACTTCTGGGCAAGCCCTGAAAGAAGTGTGGACCTCTTAGTGTGGCCATCCATGGGGCTGGAATAGTTACATACATGTCCCGCATGAAAATGACCCCTCCAGGGTGGGAGCCCTCTTTCAGTCCAATGGTCTGGGCCCCCTTGAGGTGCAGCTGACAGCCGAGGTCATTGGCAGGCAGTGGAGCAGTGGGGGGAACGCATGAGAAGACTTGGGGGCTTGGGAAAGGCAATGTAAGTCACCAGTGTGTCTAGAAACAAGAGACTTGCCATGTCACGAAGACACAGTATGCAAAACGGCCGAAGACGGCTTAGATGGTGTTCAAACATGTTCTTGTTCCAATGGCGGGCGATGGTTACTTGCCTATTCATTCTCTTTTGGAGCTCCAAGGCAACGTTGGGCAGTCCAAGCTTCGTCCTTCTTGCCATGCAACAGGGCCAATGCTGGTCTTCAGTATGCACGGCCAAAAGGCATGAAAACAGTGGTCTGCAAATGTCTCCACGACCCCCTCCCAACCTCCCTCACAGTCTTTTCCTGTCTACAACTCGTGCTCCCAAACACATCCTGTGCGGTGCCCCAACAACCAGTCACCATCAAAGGTGATTCTACCAAACAATTGCCACCGTTCGCTGGAGCAATACAAACCCCTACTAAGAAGTTACACAGACCCTCCTGGTCCAAACTCCTGGTCCTGTCGGATCCTACGTCCAACGCCTGGTTCGCACGACCTCATGTTTGTACTGTTTTGGTCCGGGAACCCGGACATGAAACCGGTCAGTTCCTGACCTACTGGGTCATCAAGTTCACAAACAGTGAAGGCTGTGAAGGAAGAAAGACTCCTAGGTTATATATAACCATGCACATAAATTTAACAAACAAACACGGAGCAGATATATGGGCACATATAAACTTCGAAGTAAAATGGAATTCGTTGGAATTCCATTGATAACCAGGGCACGTTATACATTCCATTCATTGGAATGCCATTCTACAAGTCAACAGTTTTACGCGCAAACACACCAGAACTTCGCAGAAGCGCGCTCCTTGCGCTCGCCCAGCTTCTCGTTGAGCGCCGCCTGGCACGACCGGGTCACGCGCGCGGCGGCCTCGAGAAGGCCGTTCTGCTGGAGGATGGGGGAGCTTTGTGAGACCTTTGGCGCAGTAAAAAGACTGGGAGATGGAGAAACCAGACACATCCAATGACGCGACGTGTCTGGGACTGCCAGGACGGACTGCCTTCAAAACGGCCAGGGGCGGTGGTGCCAGGGGGGTCAATGTAGGCTTATTCCACACATGGAGTGTATGGGAATTGGCTTACATAAGGTCGCTTTTGGGGTCCCTTCTTCATGCGGATCGGTCACGGGATGGGCCATTGTCCGAGTGATTATGGAGTGTTGTCCGAGTCGCATGGACGTCTCTATTTCAACATGCAGTCTCATCTCTGGTCTTCAGATATTCCAAGAGTTTCCGGATTTAAGGCTTTGGTGCCAAAAATACAAGATTTGTGGGCACCATGGTCGTATGATCGTAGGGTGGTCCATCGGATGGAGTGTTCACAGGGATGTTCCAGGATGGGCGAGGTGCATCCCCAGCGTTTGAGAATTGACTTTTGAAGATGTTGTTATGGGCGCTTTCCAGCTACTAACTGCCACACGAGTTCTTGCTGCCTTTCGCACACATCCTTCACCCTGAACCTGCTATCCAAATGGGGTAGATTTGAGCTCTTTGACGCTGTGGTGCTAGTTTCCATATTCATCCAAAGAACATGAAAGCATATCGGCATATCAATTTGCCTGCACCACAAACCAAAACTCTTCCGCCAACATCGTCCATCCGAAAGGAATTTACTTCGAGGCATTGCCCATGCTGCAAGCTCCTTTCCTCCGTTTTCAACTAAGATCTTCGCACATCAACCCCCCCCACCTGCGCCACAGCTATATACACCACATGTCTTTTTTAGCCGCCCTCCCCTTCGGATTCCTCGCCTTGACACTGTCTTCTCTCATGGCCTCGCCCTTCTCCGTCAGCAACTCTTGCAACAAGGCCTCCACCTCCTGGCCACCACGGCGCCGAAGAACTCGCCCGGCGAGGCGCGACGACCCCGAACGGAGCCCTGCGAGCGTGAACTGGAGCCCGCTGTAAGAGGATTAACTTGATCACCTACCAGGCTTACCTAGGGTCATGTGATCCACTGCAGTGAAACCGGACCCCCTGCAGTACCCTTCGGGTCGCGAGAACTGCAGCCCTTCCGAGTTTCGGCCCGGTGCCCGGGCGTGCTGGGGGGGGGGCGGTGGACATGGGGGGGGGTTCGACCTCTGTCCGAGGGAACAGGAACAGTCTGAGCCAGGTCCAGTCTTCTGGAACTTGTGGTCCTGCAAAAACTGGAGTCGTTCTGGTCGGGTTCTTGTTATGATCAACTCCAAAATCAGTTCAGTTCCTGACCTGATAGGGTGTATATGGATCCCTTATCACCATATCAATCCATAGCATTCTAAGATCAGGTCAGTTCCTGACCCTGTTTTTGAGTTCAGAAACAACACACATGAGTCCAGACTGAACCAATTCCCGGGTTGAGGTGAGCAGGAACGACGGTTTTGGCGATGGCCGACCGTCCGACTCATGGGAGCGACGATATCCAACACGGCGACACAGATGAAGACGATACGGCAGGATTATAGACATCGATCATATTTAATATCCCTAAGAATCCGAACGGGCTCTCCATGGCAGGGGTCGGACCCGACTCTATATCATGTAAAATAAGATCAATATATACCAGCACCCGACTCTACAGGTCACCACCCGCGACTTTTAAGTCTCCAAAAGCCACCAGAGGAGACCTGTTGGAGGGTCCTGGTAGAATAGGCACAGTATATATACATATATACGATCTTCCAACTTTGGCAACATGTCCACCGTCTGGTCTTTCAAGTGGCAAACATGTTGCATCGTTGGAAGATCCAAGTATAGGTTCATTCTCCATTGCCTAGTTGGTGCAAATGTGTCCTTTGTGCAGTGATGACTGATTTCCGGCCTCTTAAAGTCACGGTGAAGCAAGTGAAGTGGATGACTTGAACATTGGAAACCAACAACAGCGCAAGAGAGGTCAAGTGACCTTATAGGACCATACTGGGGTACCTATGGGAAACAGATGGATATGTAGCAATAGTCTATAGATGTCTATAGGTTGAACCTTTTTGTACCTGCAGTCACCACCGACCGTTTGGTAGCCCCAAAACGATCTCCATGCAAGAAAGAACAGCCTTCATGCGCTTGCGCTTGCCGGCGCTGACACCAACAATGAGCCTCAGTTGAAGGCCATGCTCGGTGCGCCATACCAAAAACTGGTTGGTGGTTGCAACTCGCTTGCACAATATTAGTCAGGGGATGTCAGGGGGTTCAATTATCCCAAGTACAGGTTGAAAATCAACCATTCCAAAATCACACCTATAGACCCCCGCACCTCTTTTCCTCTAACGAATGCCGTCAACACATGTTCCGGATGCTCCAAAACCCCAAAACGGTATGGCCAACATCTTGAAGAATGCAACACCGCCCTACACGTCAGGAACTCGCCCTACAGGTCAGAAACTCGCCCTAGAGGTCAGGAACTGATCTCATGTTGACTGGAGCTGGTCATACCAAGTCCCACTACAAACAGGTTTGACTGGGTCAGACTGGGTCTGGGTCGCTCATCAACGACGTCCACATAAACCAGAACCTACAATCTCAATGAAACACCTTCCAGCACCATGGAGGAACTCGGGTGTTGAAATACGACACCCCTTTCTGGCCATTTGTTTTTCTTTCCATTGCTTTCGGGCAGTCTCGCGACGGCCTCCTGTTGGCCCGAAGGGTCGCCCTTGTCGGCCCTGGAGAACCAACCACCCCGAAGGGTCGGTGCCGGTTTCAACCACCAGGGCCCCACCAGTCGTACCGAACCTCACCCCGACCCGACGGCACCGGTCCCCGGGTCCTCCCAACCGTAGCTGGCGGTTCGGCGATTCGGCACCGACCCAACGGAGGCCCAACGGGTTGGGAAGAGTCGTGCCGGGGCAGAGTTCATCGCCATGTGGCTGTTCCCAATCAATGAGCCCTGCAGACGGGTCCAGAGGCGTTGTGGCGGAACTCCACGTGGTCGTGGAGACGCTTTTGCATGGCTGTTGATACCTATAGATGATGCTCTATGATATCCAATATTAATAAGTTCAGTAAGTTGGGCAAGTTCGGGCCCGCAAATCTTATTAAAACCATCACCCAGAAAATGGAAGTGCACTACAACTCGGCCCCGGCGGGGGCGGTAGAATGACGCAAGGCCTCAGACCCTCGCCCAACGAGTTGGATCCTTTCGAGCTATCAATGTCTTCGCAGTCACCACTGATAGTGTGGGTCGAGAGTAAAAAGCACAAACCAACAGGTATATTAT